AAGCAATACATTCCTTTAAGTCGCCGCTGTAACATTGGGTTGTTCAATTCAAAACACAGCACAGAGTGGTAATTACCTGCATTATCCAGATTCTCTGCCTGAAATTCTTTAGCTGTTCATAGTCTCCCTCTGCAGAGTACTAGCAACACACAGGGGGAATTAAGCATTGCATTCAAAGAATCTGTTCCACCAAAGTATCAAGCATCCCACTGGCCAAGCCTTGGTATATACTGCTACACTTGCTCCCAATGCAGCCTCTCTTCCTCTTCTCCTCAGCAGCCAGAATTGTGTTCATCATTCCTCTGGGGCCTGAAACTGGCTCACTCAAGACCTGGGGAGGATCATCAAATCATGGGTTGGAAGGGACCTTAAAACTCATCCAGTTGCAACCCCCTGCCACGGGCAGGGACACCTTCCAACACCTTCCTCTCGAGCAGGTTGCTCCAAGCCCCATCCAGCCTGGCCTTGAACACTGTCAGGGATGGGGCAGCCACAGCTTCTCTGGGCACCCTGTCCAGGATCCCCAGCTCTGTACATCTATTGAGCAATACTCTTGATCTGAACACACAGATCCCAACAAGTCTTGGCATTTCTGTAAAGCAAATGGCTTCTTACGAAGTCCACTGGGATTGAACTGGGTTTGTTAGCTGTACATAGATGTTCCAGCAATTCAAAGGGACTCATCTGGTGTTTTCGGTGACCAAAACAACCTGACAGGTGCTTCCTGCACATGTCAGAAGAGGGTCATGGGGCAATGTGTGCAAAGTGGTACAGCAGGTGCTGGATTTCTACTGAATGAAGAGCCAGTGAAGAAGTAAGCAGCTGTAGATAGCAAGGTGTAATCTAGTAAATCCTCTGAGTAACTTAATTAGATTTGATTCAGCAAAATACACACGTTCAGCTTCTGCTGAACTTCAGCCGGTGCTGGGGGCAGGGCAGGGACCACAGGGAGAGCTTTCATGGATACTGCAGAAGACAGGTAAATCATAGATTCAAAGAAACAGGTGGAAAAGGTACCGAGATACTCCTACTTCGATGAACATTTTTCATCTAAAGGTGCCAGATTTTCTGATCTTTCCACAGAATCAGAAGCAGCATAAGACTGGCTAAGGGAAAGGTGCTGGGGGTTTCTTTACACAGCATTGCTGAGAGGAAGTTGTAGCCCACATAGGCTCTGCCCATCTCTTTTTCCCTCCCCACTCTGTGTGAGCTCTGTACTTGACACAATAGTGAAAAGGGTGGAAACACCAGTGAATCCAAGTAGGAACGCCCTCTACTTTTATGTAGCATCAAAGATATGATGCGATTTAATATGCTTATCTGGTTTTGCTGTCAGAATCCAGGTTGCTGCAGCTCAGCATAGGTCCATTTTGGAAGCAGCTGGAGTTCTGGTGGGTGTAATTGCATTGCTGCCTGTTCTATCCTTGATTTGCATCCATATAGAAAAGAAAAAAGAGGTATGTCCACTGCCTTGTGAAACTTTTGGGAAGTGCTGAAGAAATGAAACAAGTTGAGGTTGTACAAAGCCTCTCTTCACTTCTTTATTAAAGGGTAGCGTTACCCACTTGCGCCAGATTATTTGGCTCCTCTTCATCATTCTTATACATAGTGCTTGGATCAGCTTTTCAGTGGGCAGCACTTTCTGTCAGATTGTCAAGAGGTGATCCCCACAGCAGGATGGATTTCCTGTCTTCCTCTAACTATCTTGCTGGCTGGCTGTGTGCTTTTTTCCTCCTCTGCATTTTATCTACTCATCTTTGTGTTTTGCTGTGCTTTTCCTTATCTTCCCTAGTTCTAGCTCTTTCTGCCCACTGTTGGACAAACTTTTGTTCACTTTTTGCAATGCTCCATTCTTTTAACCAAGAATGTTCAGGAAGTGGATTTGATCCTCAAATACACACAGAACACAGATGCCAGAAATACACTTTCATCATGGTGCTTTAAAGATGTTTATTTCAATTTGCTTAGAGTGTACCTACCTCAATCCTGCACGTCCATACAAACAAATAGATATGCCTCTTAATTTAAGATTGGCTTTCTCGGGTTTGGATCCTCTCTAGACTTGCAGATAGCTTCTCTGTTGAAGAGCTTGTATCAGCTCGGGTTTATTTTTAATCTGCCTACTTATAAGCTTCTATTTGTGACAGTATGTGAGCATCTCACAGGCAGGTGGTCAGGTAAGAAGTACCTCTTATCCCTCTTTAGGAAGTGAGTGAACTGATGATGGTCACTTTGTCACAGAGGTTTATGACAGAGCCTGGACTTCAGTTCCAGCTCCTGCACTGGGCTTGGGAGCTAGCAGTGTGCTGTGTTCTGGCAGTGGGTAACTTGGTGTTTCACCATGGGAATAGCAGAGTGCTTGCTGCAGTCCCTCAGGATTTTGTCAGGAGTGAGATAACTTCAGTCCCTGCTGCAGGTGCTGTTGTCACCCAGCTTGGGGAAGTGAGATATACAGGAAGAAGGGAAATACTTTGGTCTGTGAAATGATCTGTAGCTCAGGGGCTGGTTCCAAATCCAAGGGTTTCAGTTCCAGTTCTTTCCCTGCCAGCAGTTATTTCTGTACGATTGCAGAGGGCTTCATGCTACAACCTTGAGGTGTAGCTGTAGCTCACAGAGAGCTTCTCTGAGGTCACTTGGAGAGAGAGCAAGCTCTCGATATAGAGTGGCAGCAAGGATCCAAACTCAGGCTTGGACAAGGAAAGGGAAAAATTAGGTACTGCTTTGGTCCCCTGTGCCACCCCGCATCATTCTGTAGCAGCCAGCCCAGATAAAGAGGTTTATGACTCTGCCTTTCTTCTCTATCAAGTACTTTGTCTCTTTGGAGTTTGCATTCCTGCAGTTCATTCCCCTCAACAGGCCCAAGTGAGAGTGTTATTAATGGTGTGTCTGTGAGTATCTGATTTTCCCTGTTTGGTTTTCCAGGAGGAGGAACCAAGATCCTGATGTTCCTGTAGCCCTGTAAGTATATATATATGGATTTCTCTGGTGCTTGTTTTCTGCTATTATTGTAGTTGAATTAATTAGATGAGATCTCTGACGTAAGTCTCTGAGAGATGTGTTGAAAGCCTGGGATGGGCAAAATATATAGCCATTTATATTTATGGCTATAAAATTAAGATAAGCACCCAGAAGTAAGAGCTTAAGTAACCTTGTGCCACATTAACATACCTGGTGACCTGTTATGTGTATGGTACTCTTGTATTTACAAAAGAGATCCCATTTAAAATGAGGTAGGTCAGACTTTCCATTATCCATGGCAGATTTTCTCCTTGCGTATTTCCAGGAACGAGACCTATTTCCATGCTCCGTTAGGCCAGCTCCAAGCTGAGGTGTACCAAGTTTTTGGTACTCTGTTTGGGATTCTGAAATGGGCATGACTGAGAGATGCAGCAAGAGACCAAAAGAGATCTGCTAAAGAGTCAAGATTCGGGGTGTATGGGGTGTATCTGACTTGGAATCTTTAATTTTTGGTGGTAATGATTTATCAGTCACCTTAGTAGTGATCCTCATGACCAACTTCTCCCTGGCTTTGCAGTTAGATCTAAATCTGCTTTGCTCTATCTTGTAGATGAATTTAATTAGGAAGATTTAATAGGAAATCATTAGGCGACATCATAGGGAAGCAACAACTTTTCTCTGCTGCCATCCTTCTCCTCCCTGGGGCTCTTACTTTGCGTCATTTACTTGTCCATTACTCGTTCCTCAGGAGAACAAGTGGTTCTCAAGCAGCAAGATGAACAACCCAAATATCCCATGTATTTCTGCATGTCTGAGTGACTAATCCAAAAGCTAAACTCTGATAAATTTTTGCTGGTTTTTTTTTTTTTGGGGGGGGGGGGGGGGGGATGTGTTTCTGTGTGGGGTGGCTGGCGTCTGGTAAGGTGTAAACTCACATTAAGTCCTTCAGCTGAAGCACAGGCACATTCCCTCTCCTTTTTCCGTAGAAAACAACTGCTCTCTCTCAGCTGAAGGTTCAGAGGAGTGATCTTTGTGTCCTCTGTCAGTCCTGAAACACATTAGATTTGTTTGATGTTCGTTGCACAGAGAAGCTGTGGCTTCCCCATCCCGGGCAGTGTTCAAGGTCAGGTTGGATGGGGCTTGGGGCATCCTGCTCTAGTGGAAGGTGCCCCTGTCCATGGCAGGGGGGTCGAACTGGATGAGTTTTAAAGTCTGTGATTCTATGATTCTGGCCAAAAGCCTTGGTGCTTATTCTGGGGGGGAAACACATGGGCATTACCTTGACAGAGGTGCCTTAGTTCTGTGGGAAGCAGCTTAAAACACAGCTGGCAGAGCTGCAGAGCACCAGGTTCAGGAGCTGGCAGGCCCGTGTAGGGCTTAGATTCCAAAGCTGAGAATCTGTTGTTGAAAATTACCTCTCTTCTGCTTCGTGTCTGCTCCTAAAAGGGGCGGTTTTAACCCTTCCCCCCATTCGAACCTTGCTGGAATTCCCAGGCTCCCAGTTACAATGCTTTCTACTCACCGTTTTGGCTAAGTGCTGTGTAATTCAAGTCTTCTACGTGGCTGTTTCCCCACTAAATCTGGGGGCACTTGGGGTCTTCAGGTGCAGCACCTGGATCACGACGCCGACCAAGACGGCTTTAACGCCCCTTTTCCCCAAGGACGGCGTGCGACCGCCCGAGTACCCCATTCCCCGGTGCTCCACGGCAGGTGTGAATCTTCCCGGGCGAGGTCTGGCTGTCGGCGGCCGGGAGCCGGGGTTGAGCAGCGTCCCCCCGGGCCGTGCCGGCGCAGCCCCGCAGGGGAGCGCGGCTCTGTGGCGGGGGCGCGGGGCGGGGCGGGGGGCTGCGCCCTGCGCGGGATTGGCGCGGGACGGCGTGATGCCACGTCCGGCGGGGGAAGCCCGGCCTCGCTCCGGAGCTCCCCCGCCGCCCGGCTCGGCGCGCAGGTGGAGTGGTGCCGCCGCACGCACGGACCGACCCGCCGAGCCCAGCCCCGCGCCGTGCCGAGGGAGCAGTCCTGCGGCCCGGCCCGCCCCGCGCCTCGCCCCACTCCGCCCGGCCCTGCCGCGCCGCAGCCGGCATCATCGTGGCGGGACTGCCCGGGGATGCAGCCGCGCTAAGAACAAAAGCCCCTCTGCCACGGTCACGCTCCGGGGCTCTAAAGCGGCCCGGCCCAGCCAAACTTGGATCTCTGCCCCTCTCCGCCGAAGCCGCGGAGGCGTCCGGATTGAACTCGCCGGAGCCTTCGCCGCGGCAGAGCCCGAGAGCCGGGGCTCCCCAGCCCCGCTTCGCGCCGTCCCGCCGGGGCTGCCCGGGGAGGGACGGACGGAGGGAAGGAAGGGGCCGCGCCCCGGACCCGGCACCGCCGCCTCAGAGGGACCCCGGCCGCCTCCCCGCTGCGGGACCTTGGCTTTGCCCTTCGCACGGCAGGTGGCGGGGCCAGCGGAGAAGGATGCGTTTCTTCCCGTGGGGATTTTGGCTGCTGTGTGTCGCCTCCGCCCCGGCTCGCGGTGACAGCGGCGGCAAGGCTAGGAGCTGCGCCGAGGTCCGGCAGCTGTATGGGGCCAAGGGCTTCAGCCTCAGCGGCGTGCCCCAGGCCGAGATCTCTGGTGAGTTCCGTGGAGCGCGGTGGCCGAGGGCGAGGGGATTCCGACCGGGGCTGATCGCTCCCGCCTCTGGAGTTTGTGTCTGGGCGCGGCGGCGAGCAGTCGGACCGGACGGGTTACCCCGAAGGCCGGGCACCCCCTGTAGCCACTGCCCGGGCTGAAGCGGGCTCTCTGCAGCGGTGGCGGTGCGAAGGAAGCTGGGGCGGGGGGAGGCGTGTAGGGTGTGTGCCTGTCCAAGTGTTCGGCGGTCCTTTCTTTTATTGCATTGTCTCGTTTTTTCTGTTTTGGGTACAATTGAAATGGTTTCAGGGATTGGTTCAGAAATCAGGATAATTAGTCTGCAGTGGGTTTTGGTGCTGGAACTGGAAAATGCCACAAGGTTATGAGAGAGAAGAATTGATTTCGTCTTCTTTTGGGTGGGAAACAAACCTATAAATGGCATTTGTCACTCGTTAAAACGAAGCAGGAGTAAAATGATGCTGTGTCGAGCACGTAGAGTGTAGAGGAAATCTGAGCAACCTACATCAGAGTGTGTCCGCTTGCCTTCATTCTGGATTTGGACAAATCTTGGTTCGTTTCCTCCTCTTTGCAGAAAACCACTGAAATACCAAAGAATATTCAAGGTCTGGTTTATGTTAGGTGGGTTGGTTTTTTTCTTGAAATCTTGAGGGGAATATGCTGAGATATTGGGGGTTTTGGTTTGGGTTTATAGATTCTCATCTAAGTTTTGATACACCAACTCATGACCCATATCTGAAAGATTTCCCCTCCCTTGTGGGAGCTTCCTCCTTCAGACAAAGCATAAAATGTGCAGGCGTACGTGCCAGAGCCAACCTACAGGGACATCCCAGGAAAACTACAGTTTGTAGTTCCCGTCAGAGCTACAGAATGCCTTATGTTGAATATTTCATTGTGTAGTTTTCCAAGGAAACCGAGTCATTATCTGCCCCATAGGGTGAACCATGTGCATGTCTCATACATGTGGACAAATTAAGACTTTCTTTGTCAAGTTGCAACAAAGAGTACGTTTCCCAAATGAGCTGAGCAGTCTTGAGGTTAAACAGTGGGGAATTTCAAAATCGTTTGAGCATCGCTATTAATAGAATAGTAATTCAGCTGAGCAAGAAAGTGGCTTTTTATACATTTACATCTAATTATGACAAATGTGAATACATTAGAGCCCTGTTTCAAGTGGGAAGTTCTTGGAGGACTAGGTATTTACAAATACTCATAGGGATGGCTACAGAATTGTGTACAGGGATAGTACTACATGGGCAGACCTTGGGGATGGTGGGTACAAGTGTTATGTAGCCCAGGCTGGCAGTGAGTAAAACATCTTGTGCCTACAAACCATTCATGCTCAAGAAGTGACAGAGGACACACAGGTTTCTGGGAAGCAGGAGTTTTGTTTCTTACTATTTGTTGCTACGTGTATGCTGACAAGTCTTGAGCAACAGTAGTTAAAACTTTAGTATCAAACTGGGCATCTCTGGTTGTTACTTTAGACAGGGAAACTATAGATAAATGCTATAAAACTTTGAGGAATACCACATGGAAACTAATATGAAGGAGTGCTTGAGAGAAGAAGGTTCCACCCATAAACCTGCTGCTGCTGATACAATTAGCCTGGTATTTAAAACCCGGTATTTAAGCTAGCGGACTTAATGACTTTCGTTGGTAATTATCATGCATACCTCCTGACTGAGAGATACTTAGGAATGTGCTTTCCTCCTGCTATTGTACTTACTGTACGGTTAAAACATTGATGTACATTAATACTAACCTTAGAAATGTCCATAAAAGTGTTGTATATCCTGTATGCTCTTTAGTGCAGAAGTTGATGCCAGTTTTGTTGTCTCTAAAAAGGAAGACTCTTGAGTATCCCTACGTGTAGGAGGTGCAGTTTATAATTCTACATTATTCTAAGTGCTCAGTCGTCACTTAAAGGCTCAACAGCATTAGTTCAGCTTGCTGACCATGGGGGTCATAATCTGTATGAGCCTTGTCAGGCTCCCCCTGGTTGACACCTGTGAATACACACACATCAACATATAACAACTTTTGGCTAAGGTAAGAAACACTGGTGAAGGTGCCATGGCTCCAGCTGGACCTGTGCTGCAGTTTCCTCATGGTGCCCTTCACCAGAGCTACCTGGAGAATCACATTTTTCATCTTATTTCTGAGCCCTCCAGAGGCAAAAGCCCTTCACTTTGTCCCTCTTTTGTCCCTCTGTCAAGGGGATCTTGCTGTTCCTTCTTTTTCCATTGCTTGCCCTGAAGCAAAAGGGAATACTCATTTCTCAGCCCACTGCCTTGTCCCTGTAGCGGTGCTGCCATGCTGGGCTGACCTTGCTCCTGTCTCCTTTGAGCTGGCTCCAGGCACTGCTTGGTGCATGTTGCTGTCACACCAGGCCAGCACTGGGAGTGAAACCACACTTGCACCCTCAGAACATGACTTCAAAAGGAGTTCAGTAAGCTCCCATGATGCAGGCTCTGACTCAGGCTGAGATGGCTGTGTTTATGTTGGGTTTAGAACAGTTATTGCATGCTTTACACCTTCTAATCTGTATTCTTTGTTATGATTTAAGAGGATTATGAGTAATACAAAGCCTCCACAGCTCACCAGAAGGTAGTCCCTGCTTATGACTGTTCAGATCAGTTTGAGGAGCAGTCACAGAGTTATTAGCTGGCTAATAGATAAGCATCTGATTCAGGGATAGACTCTTGGCTCACCATATTTCTCATGAGCCACCTAGACAGGGTTTCCTGTTTTTTGCTAATGGTGTACAATGCCTTTAACATGTCTAAGCACTTTAAATGTGTCAGGTGCTGTTATTAAGGGTGTTTAGGGTATACACAAGGTGTTATATCTCCCTACTTTGAAGTCAGTGGCAAAACTTCCAAACATGAAAGAAGCATCTGCTTGTGGTAGTAATTCTAACGGACAGACGTGCGCCCAGAGTCTCAGGTGGAGCTCTGCCTGGAAGAAAGCTTTTAACAGTAGGGGAAACATTCCCTACTCCTTGGTTTTGGGAAAGTTATGACTCTTGCTTCTGTAAGACATACTTGAGCAAAGCTTTCCTCTCTGTTGGAGACTGTTCCCGTCACTCCCACCGTGGGTCCCCTAAACTGGTGTTTGAAGAAGAGAGGTGTCTTGATGTAAGTGTACTTAGTACCTGTGCTAAGAGCTGGTCTTTTGAGGCTCACAGCATGGTGTGTAGTGGAAGAGAGAAAGCCTATGGAAGAAAATAGTGTGTCTGGGGGAGGGTATCCAGCTTTCTCTGCTGACTTGATGGAATGGTTTAGGATTACTGATGTTGGATGGGTGACTGCTCCCCAGTGTCTCAAGCAGAGAAGGTATCTCCAGTACTGGAGGAGACTTCTTGTGATCTGATGTGGATGTGCTTGGCTCTTGCTCGCTGTTTGGGCTAGGCTTTTGCTTTGGTTTGTTTATTCCCAAAATTAATCCTTCCTAGACTTGGCTCTCCGTGAGGTTGACCTTGTTGACATGGGCAGTGGGTGTATCACAGTGAAAGAAGAGGAGGGCACAGAAAGAAGCCAGTGGACTTTGCCAAGCTATGTTGCTGCCCATCCAGTCACAGACCTCCTGTGCATGCTTCTCCTTGTTCCTTAGCTGAAATAAGTCAGAACAATCTTTTTAATCTTTTGGTCCTTTTAGGCTGCATAATTGGGTTTTGTGATGAGAGCGCTATCAAGTGTATGTGTTAGAGACTTGCTCCAACAGCTCTGTGTCCTACTTATGTTGAGGGCACCAGAACTGCACAGCAAGGGGGGTTTCACCAAGAGGAGCAGAGTGGAGGGGCAGGATTCTCCTCCTTTGACCTCCTGGCCACACTCCTTTTGATGCAGCCGGGGACACTGTTGATTTCTGGGCTGCGAGCGGACACTGCAGCCAGCTCATTTTCAGTTTCTCATTGACCAGCACCCCCAGGTCCTTCTCTGCAGGGCTGCTCTGGGTCACTTCTCTGCCCAACCTGCAACTGTGCCACATGACAAGTAGATTGGTGCGAAGGTTAGAGGAAGCCATGCCTGAACCGTGTGTCTCCATTTCTGTTTAACTCAAAATATACAGGCAAATGTGGATATTGGGCACTTTGGGGCGGTTTTGCTGTGGCTGACTGCAGAGTATGTGCACGCAAAACCAGGATCCGAATGGGATTTAGGGAAAAAAATGGGCGCCCTCTAGCGGTTGGCCACGGCAGCGGGAGGAGCCGGAGCTGGGTCTGGAGTCTGCTTAGATCGCCTTAGAGTTCCGTGGTGTTGCCATCGTTTTTCAGAGGATCTGCCTCTCTGTCGCTGTGATCCGCATGACTAAGCTCTCACCGCGTGATTATCCTTGTCAGCTCTGTCTGACAAAATGATTTCAACAGCTTCTTTTGTTGGTGAAGCAAAGTCATGTATTTTCTTTGCCAAACAAACTTGCGTGCTTGTCTAGCTGACGGCACCCGCCCCAACCAGGGAGTGAAACTGCAGGGCTTACCTTCCCACTGGTCTTGCCCTGTAAGTGCCCTGCTCTGTTTAGGAACACATGTCAGTCAGTCTCTGGATGGGTTTGATAGGTGACATGTGGCTTTTGGCGTGGATTGGGAAGCAGTTGGTTTAATGTTCTGTTGCATTCAGTATGACTGTCTTGCATTGAGGGGACTGGATAGATCTATTCCTCTGGATAATTTCAATATTAAGTGTGGTTTGACTTAACCGAAGGTGGGGAGGGAGCTGCTAACTTGATTATCACCAGATTTAGAGCCAGAGGTTTTCTTTTCCTCTGGCAAGTCACAGCAACGCTAGCTGAAACCAGAGGTAATGAAGCATCACAGCAACTGAGCCAAGCTCTGCACCCTACCCAGCACTGCCCATCAGTAAGGAAGGGGAGGTTAAGTATCATCTGCTTTTATTGCAGCAGCAAATTGCGTTAGGCACAGTGTGGAAGGTGAAGGCAGGATAAAGGATGGCCCCAGCCTCAGAGAGCTGCTGGTCTGAGCA